CTTAAGCATTCTCAACTCACTTCCAGCACAAATTCATGCAATCCAACTCTTCTATTACTTAAATAACATGATAATAGAAGATATAGCAGAATCCCTAGTTCATGGAATATCAAAAACAAACTCAAAATCATCCATCTTGGTGAATTATGCAACTTAGACTTGAATTCATGCATAACTACTTTCAATTATCTTAAATCACCTTAAAATTACTTCTAATCACTTCATCTTCACCAAAATCAGAATACACAAGCAAGCACCTTACTTCAAAGTTCATGGAATTCAAAAATTAATCCATAGAAAAGAAGGAGGAAGTGAAGATAACTAACATTTTCTTAAGAAATACTTGAAAATTCTTTCTTGAAAATTCTTTGATTTTCACCCTCCTTTTTTGCTTTCGTTTGAATCAAAACCCTCCTCCTCTCTTTCCTTGAACGGACTTGGCCTGGCAACAAATGGTGAAAGTGTCGTGGTTTCTCTCCCACTTTCTTCATAAAAATATATAATTAAACTTTATTAAAAATTCCTTCCATGTCCTTTAAATGGAAAATTGCACTATAATCCTTTCCCTTTTGTTTTCCCTTCCATCCTTTGGGCCACTCTAATCTTTTAATCACATTTACTTTAGTCCTATTTAGGTATTAAACCAAGTGTTATTTAATATTTCTAAAAACCCCACTTTAGTAAACAAATCATTAACTGAAATTACCGTTTTTTCAGGCTTTTCGGGGTAAATCGTGGCTTTACGAGAAAATCATTCCTCTTTAACTCATTTTTTGATTTCTTTAAGAATTTCAAATTGATATTGTAAAGATCAATTTAATTTTTTCATTTTAATTAATATTCAACATTCCTCACTATATAGTGTTTTCCCATTATTCAATTTTCCTTTTATTCGGATAACCGAATTCAGTGTTTCCCATTATTCTAAGTTTTCCTTTTATTCGGATAACCGAATTCATCGAAAAAGCTATAATAGAAAGAACTACAAAATTGAGGATATTACACATTATGCATTTTCTATTATATATAATTTTCTTTTAACACTTAGCTAACAACAATATATAAACCCTTGTTGATATATAAATATGGTTCCAAGTTAGAGAAGGATATGGTGTGAGATTTTTCTCCGAGAGTATATCATTAATCTCTAAAATATCCAAGACATATGAACATAATAATGTAACATCCAAGGATCTTGATGTACATGTCCTGATTACATTATATATAAATGTCAATTTCTTTCTTTAACTATGTCATTGATCTTTAAAATATCCAAGACACTTGCACAATGATTAATAGCATAATTGTTATTCAAGCAAAACACAAGCTTTAGTAATTTAAGCACAAGAGAAATTCTATCATTTTGCACAAATGGCCAAAATATTCTTCAATAGAAAGTGAGCAAATTGTCACATTGTTACATTCCATTCTAGGTAGACATCTAATATTAATTAAGACTTATATGTATATCTTCAATTGAACAGCCCAATAAATCAAACACATAAACACAATGACTGCACATACTTACTTCAACAAATTATTTTTATTTTATTCTTTCCATTTGCTTTTTCAATTTTCCTTTAGATGTTATTCGCCTTTTCCTCTTCTTTGCCATCTTCTCAGCTTTCTTTAGCCTTATTTCCAACTCCGTAAATTGGCTTTAAGCCCATCAATCCTTTTAAACGTCAAATACACAATCTATATACTCCTAGGTGAGAGCTCATTATAAATCCATGTAAAAAACTTGCCATCTTTAAGCTCCTATTCCTATACAAAAAACCATAAAATATTTTTTTCTCATCCCAATCCAAACCTCATATTTCTTTTAATCATTAAAACAAGTATGAATAAAATGAGTTTTGAGGATAATTTCACTTTTATACTCTAATATGAGGATCAATAAAAACGTCTTCCTAGATTTTTCCAAGATGTCAAGATATGGACATATAGGTTGTGGCTACATCTCACACTATCGCTATTGGTTGAGTTAATAGACCCCTTGCTCACTTTAATTCTAGATTTCTTATTTATTGTAATTTGAGAGAAAATCCTAGTTATACAACAAATTGCCTCACCCAAAATTTATGCTCTAAACACAAATGTAAAAATTTGAAAGATATATATAAAGAGAAGGAAAGAGGGATGAGAATAACGAAATTCGAAGAGAGAGAATAGAGAAAGAGTAAGAATAGTCGGGAAGAAGATAAAGAGGGAGAGGGAAGTGGAAGAAAGGAGTTGTGGCATCCAAATGAGATTTTGCAAGCTTTGGACTAAGTTAACCCGGTTGTGTTTTTGATCCACATTTATAATATTCTATTCCAAATCCTAAGTCACATTTGAGAATAGGGTGACAATCTATCTACTAATATATATAAAGTGTGAATATAGAGGGAAACATTGAGATTGAAAAAAATAATCTTATTAAATTTATAGATTGAGGAAAATATCTAATTTTATTGCTTAAAAATAAATGTAATTTAATTTGATATCTAATTTTATTGCTTAAAAAATAAATGTAATTCAATTTGAGTGATTATATTAGTTTACTATTTAAATCTAAATTCTATTGATCAAAGAATAAAATAAAAACTATTAAAAGAGAATAAAAAAGCTTTACCGAAGAGTATTATTGCTATCCTAGAAAAAAAATTTGCAGATTTCTTCTGGTCTCCGGACTCTACAACTCTCAGACATCATTGGCTAAAATATGACAAATTTTGTTTCCCTGTGGAAGAAGGCGGTCTTGGTCTCCGATCACTATCCTCTCTCCAAGAAGCATATTCTATTAAACTGTGGTGGAGATATTGCGAAGGAAAATCGTTATGGGCAATGCTACTACGGAAGAAATATTATAGAAGAGATCAAATGAATTTTAAAACCACTGATTCTTGTACCTGGAAAAGAATTTGTCGGATTCAACCAACAGCTAATACCTTAATTTCTATTGAGGAAGATGGCCCCAGTTGGATTGCAAACGACAGGGAGAACTTCAGTCTAAAATTAGCATATGATTTTGTGAGACTAAAGAAATCAGCCACTCTCTCTTACCGTTCGATCTGGGATCCAAATATTCCTACTAAAATCTCAATCTTCACATGGAAAGTCTTGCAAAGGGCTATACCTCTTCCATCTCGAAAAACTATTCCAAAGCCAATATGATATAGTTGAAGAAATGATTTAGCATTAAAGTTACACTGATTTATTAAAAATTGGGTTCAGTCCAGGTCATTCGGTTTCCAATTTTTACTGGTTTTGACCGGTTGAACTCGCTTTTTTGCTCATTCGATTTTTAGCATCAACTAGACCGAATCAACCATTGGTTCGTGAGTTAATCGGTCCAACCGGCCGGTCCGGTTCGATTTTCAAAATCATTGGTGAGTTATATATCTTTTAAGAAATCATTTAAGCAATTTACTATATCCCTATGAAAACACACATATTTTGATAATTGTTTCAAACCATGTCGTTGTAAAATTGACCGAATAGACAAAATTGAACTTTTTTTGATTCAACTTGATTTTTAATATACTCGGTTTGAAGATTATTTGAAGATTACCTTCCTGAATTCTTCGGCAATAAATTGAAAATTAAGCTGGTATCTTGGGTAAAACCACAAGCTGGATTTTACAAGCTCAACGTTGATGCTTCATACTCTTCTTCTTCTTCTCCGCAGGAGGAGCCATAATTCGAGATCATTTAGGTAGCCATTTGCCGCATACTGCTCACAAATTCATGCCAGAGACTCTACAGACGCTGAACTAAATTCCTTATTTTCAGTCTCGAGAATGGTGTAAAGCTTAAAAACACCTTTCCCCTTTATTATAGAGAGTGACTCAAAAAACTACCATCGACTTCATCACTTCCTCACCTTCACTAGAAAAACGTCCTCGGTTTGTCATTCAAGATCAAGGAATTAGTCTCGGGATTCCAATGTCCTTTCTTTCTGCCACATCTATCGTAGGGAATCAAGCAGCTAATTCTTGGCCTCGTTTCAGCAGATTGTAGCTCAATTAATTGATTTTTACTACAATTTGCTTCTTTGCCTCAATTACTTAAAAAAGGCATTGTTAATTCTGACCATTTTTTTCTTGGCTCGTTTCAGCAGATTGTACTCAATTAATTGTATTTTTACTACATTTGCTTCTTTGCCTCAATTACTTAAAGGCATTGTTAATTCTGACATTTTGGATTCTCCATATATAAGATATAAATAAGGTTTTCCCAAAAAAAAAAATTTCAAATTATGCTCTATTATAGAAGTTTTGTCATATTTTATTTGGAAATTATTAATTCTATTATATAAGTTTTATCCTATCTTAATTAATAATTATATATTGTATTTACCACTAAATATATATTACTTTATTTATGCAAGTTTTTTAAATTTCGTTATTAAGAATTTTTTTCACTTTCATCGTCAAGGGTTTCATTATTAAGAATATGTTGAACACTCATCGCTCAACTTATTATTATCGATCATTAAAGTTAATTTTAATTTTAATTTAATATCAACATTATATTATGTATCAAAAATGTTATTTGTTATCAATTATAATTGAATTTTAAAATTCTAATGTTATTTGTTATTAATTATAATTGAACTTTCAAATTCTTTATTTATGCATATAAAATATTATAATGTCTTAACTATAATCATTATTTTATATATTCAATTTTTAACTTATGACTACTCATATAAGTTGGTTTAACTTTATTTTTATTATAATCTATTTATTTTCTGTAAAAATTATTATTATTATTTTTATTAATTGAATTTATTTTTTCATTCTATATTAAAAAAAATTAAATTTTGTAAAATCTTGTGAACTTGTTTATTTTAAATTTATATTCAAATTTTATAAAAAAGAACATGTATATAAAATAAGAAAAGAATATGAATATAAAAGAAAATGACACTATAGTAAATAAAATATTTTATCTTAATTATTAATTATTATTCTTTTTTATTATAAATAAAATAATAAAAATTTATAACCAATATGTCCAACTAATTTTGTTAAACGGTAGCGGTACAAAGTTTAAATTAGGTGATTTGAGAGCATTTTTTTGAATGCTTAATGTGTTTTTGTAAGGCAATCTTGTCTTGTTGATTACTCTCTTGTATTGTTCTTTCGTCTGTGGCCACGTCAAACAATCTATATTTAAAATCGAGATTGGATTTGGAGAGATCGATTTGTCTATTGTTTGAGGAAACAAGTTTTCGAAGTTAATCTGAGTGGTTTTGGTGCGGCTCTGACGGTGGCTGCGCCTCTAGTGGTGGTGGTTGGGGTTTTTTCGTAGAGCAGGCGGTGGGTTTGCAGACCAATACCACGAAGCAGTTTTTGGTCTTATTATCAGTTCTTCCAGGTAATCTTTAGCTATTAAAGTTCATCTGCAATTAAAAATTTAATTTTAATTTTCATGCACTTTCTCAGGAGTCAAACAAATTCTTAGGTTCAGATTTCAATAATCTTCAATTCTTGTCTGGCCACCGTTACTTCTCCAACCTCCGGCCGATCCTTCACCATTTTTCTTGGCTTGATATGTATATAGTCTTAAAGCAACCAAGAAATCGGGAGTAGGAAGGAAGAGAAATGGATGCTGAGGCGCAAAAGTACGTCTGGGAAGGTGCAATACCGCTACAGGTTCATCTCCACGAATCTGAAGTAACGACTCTTCCTCCTCCGCCTCCCGCTCATATCTTAGCTCCAAGAGTTGGTTACTTGCCTTTGCTTATTTCTCTTATAAAGCCTCACTTCGCTTCGTCTTTGCCTCCTGGTGTCGATACCGTCTGGTTTGACTATAATGGCTTGCCTCTTAAGTGGTAAGTTGTTTTCTCATTCTTTCCTTTTTACTTTATGTATTTTTTTTTTTCGACTTTCGGTTTAGATCTGTATTAGTAAGTGTTTGGTTGCAGGTATATACCAACTGGAGTTCTTTTTGATCTTCTTTGTGCTGAACCAGAAAGGCCTTGGAATTTGACGGTATGTTGTTTGTGCGGTTAAGGTAGTTTTTCTAGATACTGAATTTCAATGATTGTTGGAAAGTAGTTTAATAGATAAACAGGTTGTTGCAATACTTGAATATTGTAAAATGTGCTATATTTTTCTTGTCCTTATGCCTGCATGTTTAGGTAGTGATCTTTTACCTCTGTGGTATGCTTTATAGGCATGTGCTTTTGAATCTGAATCTGTGGAGGGAATAAAATTATTGGCAGTATTCTGCCAGGTAACATATTGTGTAGACATCATAAGAATGTTGCAAGTCCTTGAAGTTTTCAATGAGTGAAGAAAGGTTGGATTAGGAAAATATAAGAAATTTCTGCATTTGCTGGCCACCGGAAGTAGAAATATATGACAATTTTAGGCATAGCATGAGGTCATATTCGCTAATTACAGGACGCTGTATTTTACTTCTCATTCAGCCCTGATTTCCTTTAATTTTCTGGGTTGTTTTGGGATGAAAGGTAGTGAATTAGAGAGCTTGCTCAAAGGGCATATATATTAGAAATAACAACATGCGTATTCACTGCTTAGAGACATTACATATGTTTCTTGAATTGTTTCGTTAAACAGAAGATAGAGGATCAAGATTGAAAACTCAAATTGGAACATAGTGAACTTATTAATATAACTACCTGCTGGGTGGCTGTTCAGTGTTTGCCATTCTCTTGATTTTCTGGGTGGCTCGTTGAATATCTCACATATATTATAGGGAAACCTTTTTTTTAGCCCTTTGAGGACTTGGTGAGGAAAGCTTGCAAAAACTCGAGGTTTTAGGAGATTAGGGCTAGAGTTTGTCCAAAAATTAGGGCTTGAATATCAGTTGGCAGATCTGAATTTCTTTAGATAATAATGATAAAAAAAGTAAATGAAAAATAAACTACTAGCATCACACTAATAGGATCTAGGACTCACTCCTATCAAGAAAGAATGACATTTTATAGGGTTGGAATTGCATCCTACAACTCAAGGATACAAGCAGTATCTGCTGTAATTTTATAGACTGACAACTTAATTGAAAAGCATTACAATCATGTGTAGACCAAAATTACTGCTAAACCTTTACGTACTAGGGCTTTAAAACTAGCCCTCGTTCTTCAACGATTTGGACTCCCAATAATAAACTAAAAAGAAATAGAATTATCCTAAACTAAATCTAAAATGATAAAATACATGTAAATATTTCCGGTCCTTAAAGTTATTCTCTAGCTACTTATTTATTAAAATAAACATACAAGTAGAACTCTAAAAGGACCGAAATATACTATTAAGTAGATCCTAGATAAATCTAAACCATAAATGTATTCTGCAGCCTTTGAATTTGAATTTTTTTGATTTCCTTGTCTGCATCATTCTCCCCTGGTTAGTTGAAACTCTGACCTCAAGTTTTAAACTACCAAAGTGTTATTGTTAAAATAAAGAATGTATTGATTTGAATCTTAAGTACCATAACCCAATTTTAAATTCATCCCATATTGACTTCTTGGTTTTTTGCAGCCCACAGAGAATACTTGAATGCTTCCTTGAAACTTGTTTCCAAGATTAGTTGGAATATAAAAATTAATCTTTTGAACATTGGTAAGAAGCAATACATACCCAGCATCCCGATTATTTCGAACGATGTAGCTAGATAACTTTGTCCCTTCTACTTTCTTTGTTTCATCTTGGACCCAGCCCATCTTTTCATCTGCACAAGCACTTTGAAGAGTTAAATTGCTTGAATGTTTTCATTGAATTCCTTGTATTGATGCTCAGTCTCCTCTTAGGGAAACATTTCCAGGTTCTTGTTATGAAAATTTTGTTAATGTGTCTTGTTCGATTGCCTATTTATAGTTTCAAGTTGGTAACTTTGCTTTTCTAAGCTACCAACTCTAGTTTTCTTCTTCCCATTTTTTGTTCTACAATTTCCCTAATAGTGCTTTTGTCTACCAATTGTTTACACTCAAGTTTGATCTTCATTTTTCCAAAGGAAATTATGTGTGTTCTTAACAACATCAACCTTTTGAATTAACTCTTCAAAATACTGAGTTGCTTTTTCTGGTCCTTCATGTTTAACTTCTGGTTGACGCAAATCTAGGAATTTTGTTTGCTTAATTTTGAGATGGCAGGTCTAACCTCTTTAATACCTTCTCTAGCTATCGATTTTGTGCCAAGGCTCGTCTTGATGTTGTCTTTGTGATTCTGCCTTTAGTATCTGCTCTTCAGGTCTTTACGGTTGCTGTTTTAGCTTTTCCAACTGCTCCATGGTCTTTCCAGCAATTTTTTCTAAATTTTCTGCACATCAAATGTCATGATTTGCTTTCTGTAATGCATTTTTTGGCTGCTTCCTGAGCTGATCCTCCATTTGTGTTTGTATGTCTGCCTGCAGATTAAGCTTTCTTGGCACTTGTAGTTGTTTAGGTGTTTCTGGCTGTAATGAACGCTAGGTTGGCTGTTTTGTTGTCTTACTTCTTGTTTCCAATATTCTTATAAGTTTCAGCATTATTCTACAAAGTTTGTAGCCTATTCAACCTTTGCGTTGCTGGTTTTTCTGCATGCAATATGCTGCATGGGTTGAATTACGTTTCTCTTATCCTGATTCTCAAATCCCAATGTTGATAAATAGCCTATGAAATTATGGCATCTTCAAGGTCAAGTATTCTCATGATTGATAGTTGCTCTTGAAATGGTGATCTCAACCTGCCTTGAATCGTTAAACAGTGAGCCTTTTTCTTCTTTAATTCGACACTTGTTAGCTCATTCAGTTTTCTAGCATAGTCAATATCAGATTGACCACCTTGTTGCAAAGTACACATCTCAATTAAAAAGATTTTGCTCCTCAAAAAAACTTCTCAATGAAAGGTGTCTCCAACTTTTGCCATTGCCCACTCCAACACTGAAGGGTCTTTCATGTTTTCAGAACATAATGGCAAAACCACGAGCTTTGATACCAAAGTGATGCATGATAACTTGGAAAACTTGAAATTTTAGGAGATCAGAGATACAGTGTATAAAAATCAAGAATTAGGGATTGACTATCTGTGTGGCAGATCTGAATTCTTTAGAAAATACAGGAAATGTTAAGCAAATGAAAGGATCAGACCTTTTAGTTAGAATTGCATCGCACAACTCAAAGCTAAAATCAGAATCTGCTGTAATTGTATTGGCTGAAAAGTTAATTTAAAGCACATATAGATCCAAACTACTGATAAACCTTTACTTAATAGGACATCAAACTCGTCCTCAGCCTCCGAAGATTTGGATGCCCAGAAATAAACTGAAAAAGGAATACCGCTATGCTAAATGAGCAAGAACTCTAAAATAACAAAAAAATAAAAATAAATATTCCTCAATAAACGGGGAAAAACTTCCAGCAATCATAAAATTACAGAATTAACTCTTGGACTTAAACTTTTTAATAGCCACTTATTTATAAAAATAGACAAATAGACTCTAAAAGGACTAGAAATATCCTATAATATCTAAAATAAATACTAGATAAAATCTGTACTAGAAATATCCTATAAATCTAAAATAAATACTAGATAAAATCTGTACTCCATACTGTAATTTCTAAAGTTCTTGAGCCTTTGAATATGCATTTTCTTGATTTCCTTGTTCATATCTCATGGTTAATTTTGGATTGATAGCTGTTAATTGGCAGGGTATTTTTTTGTCTCAGTGTACGGAATTTCTGGGTTTTGTTGATTCTAGCTTTTATGTTAATTTACTCTTCTTTGACTTTGCTCCTTCACTAACTGCAAATGTTTATATTTCTTTAAATAGGAAGCCATTGGATATGAAACAAATGTAAACCATTTCATTCTTTAGACCGTAAAGTGGCTTCTATAAGCTAACATCGATGGTCATCATAATTTATATTCTATTGTTTATATTTCTTTAAATAGGAAGCCATTGGATATGAAACAAATGTAAACCATTTCATTCTTTAGACCGTAAAGTGGCTTCTATAAGCTAACATCGATGGTCATCATAATTTATATTCTATCAAAATCCCTTTCTTTCGGTGGATACTCGAATGCCTTGAGATTTGAGAAGTGTAGTGATAGTGTGCATTTGGAGGCACCTATTCTTATACAGAAGCATATTTTCTTTTTCTTATTTAATTTAGTATTAAGTTTCTTTTAATTTTCTTTATTTAATTGTTGGTTTCTTTTGTTATTTATTGTTTAGGTTACTTGTTACTAAGTATCTTTATTTATATTAGGATATATGTTACTTCTTCTACTTGGAAGAAATAGGTTCGTAACAGACAAACTACTTACCTTATCTTTTACTTCTAGTGTTTTATAATGAAAGTTTTTAATTGTTTTAGTCCAACCGCAATCAATGCCATTTATTTCTAATTGTTGAGATATTATTGTCTTAACTCTTTTAGCTGCTTCATATTCACTTAGTGGACCGATCCCTCACTTCTATTAAAACAGTTTGGCAAAAAACAATATCAAACCACCAGAAGCCCCGGCGGTCAATTGTTTGTGAAATATTGACCATGTTAATAAGGATCTTTGGAAACTTGATTAAATAAATATCAATGATCCGCTGATATACTAATTTCTTTCTTTTCTCTCTGTCGCCCTCTCGTTTTTCACAATCAACAGCTAGAGATGGCATCTTGATTTTCATAGCAGTATATTTGTTTAGTGATGGAGATCATTGGCCATTTCTTTCATTTCATTATGCAATAACTTTTCAACTTAGTGGTCAATTTTATTATTTTTATTTCTCAGGTTCACTTTAGAGGGTATCCCAGCAATTTGTTGATTCCTTGTGAAGGTGAAGACTCAGTAAAGTGGAGCTTTATTAATTCATTGAAGGAGGTTAGTTCGTGTTTTCATGTTTCTCTACTTTAACTTAATGAATTGTATAGAATTTTATTGAACACTGATCCCACCATGCAAGTTGCAATGGTTAAATATGCATAAATAAGAATTATATATTTGAGATCCATAGTTTGAACTTTTAGAAAGTATTCTTGAGTATGGAATCTACAAAGCATTAATGTCTGGGAAAAAAAAAAAAAAAGATAAATCTGAAACTGAAAGAGATGTAGCTAACTTGTATACCAATCTTATTGCATTCTTGGTTGGTTCACTTCTGTATTTTCTTTTGTTGACTTATCAATTGGTGTCGTTTTCAATAGAATTGTATTGGAAAAGCATATGTTGTTTAATTGATTCCTTAAACTTATTCAACTGTGCTTACAGGCAGATTATATAATTAATGGAAATTGCAAGAATGTTATGAACATGTCTCAATCTGATCAGGTGGAGCTCTGGCGCTCTGTAATAAATGGTATGTGAGCCTCATTGATTAGGATAATACAAATCATTTGCGTTTTATGATTTCATATTTCTGGTTTGAATTGATACACGTACAAATTTCAATATAGATAATTGACTAAGATAATTGTTTAGAGCATGACTGATAAAAGTGTACCATTTGATGACCAATGAGAAAGATCATTTCTTGATTTGTCTATATTGTCAATTAATGTCCAACTAGTTGAAGTTGGCTGTACGGATCCATTTCTTTCATTCCACCCAATTAGGAATTTATCTTCAGAAAAATCTAGTATCTCTAAGTCCTTATCTTTACTTATTTCCACATCTGTTTAGGTTTGTCTATCCCTTGTTACCTCCCACTGCTTCAATCCATCAATCATTTGAAATTAAATTAGTTTTTGGTTTTAGTTAGAGATTATATTTAACGTGTGCAAACGAGGTTATATCTTGCTAACCAACTGTATTTTGTGATCTCACAATCTATGGTTATATCTTGCATGACAAACTCCCTCTAAAAGATATGGAGGATAAAGACTTGCAAAGAATGAATATAAGATTCTCGGGAACTTCCTAGAATCCATTGAATTATCAAAATAACAATCCGTCAAGAAAATTGAAGAATAGTGTCATTTCTCATAATTCATGAATTGAAGAAACAAGTTAAAAGTTGTCTTAACCCTATTTTATATTGGGATTATTCTAAATTTAGTATTTGAACTTATACTTATTTTTCTATTTCAGAGTCTAAACTTTATTTTTTCATCAATTAAGTGTCTGAACTAATAAAATTTTCACAGTAAAGTGCATTTGGCCAGAATTTCTTGCCTGAAAATCAAAATGAACTATTTTACTCCAGTCTTTCACGTCATTCATTTCTCAAATAACTACCTTTCTCTCTTATTTGTTTTTTTCCTATCATTTTTGTTGAATTTGTTGTGAAACAGAAAGAAAGTTATAAGTAATTTTTGAATTTGTTTCTTCTGAAAGGGGAGATAGAAAACAATAGAAAGTTAAAAGAAATGCAAAAAAGGTGGATGTTTATGTTCGATGTAATTTATTGAGTAAAATTGGGATAAAATTGTCTTAGTTTCCCAATAAAATACTCTGCACAAACGCACTTAATTGATAAAAAGTTAAGTTTATATACTAAAAGAAAAATTGGCAAAGTTCAGATACCAATTATATCATCCATTTTTTTTTTTTTTTAATTTCAGCTATGGTACCTTCTAAAACTTGCCCATAAATATGATGAAGGTCTCCATGTAACAAGAACTTTAAGTTGCCAAAATTGAAATTACAACATAAGCAATCAAACTCATTATAGCCATGACTGCTTTGTGTTCAATTATGATGATTGATTCTGCTGTAATTTGCCAAGTTAAATGGTTTTAGCATAATTTATATTGGGTCAGATAATGTATGTGGATATCTGTTTTTAAGTTGGCAATTAGATAAATGCTTTAGCTTTCATTCATCAACAATCATTGCGGAATTCGGGTGGCATTTCTAGCGAAGGATTTGAAAATGAAGATGGAAGAATTTCCTTTGAAAGAATTTCGTTAAATTTTATACTTTTTGTTGTATGGGAATTTCATGTGGCTGCTATACTCATCTTGTTTGTATGGCTTGTAGGATTTTGATACTTGTCTTGTTCATATGTTGCAAGACCTTCAAAATCTATGAAGCTATATAATTCTAACCCTGAATGTTTAGATGAGATTAGTGCTATTTTGTGCTTGTAGTTAGAATTGCTACTCTAATTTGTGCAGATTAAGTGGTTTTGTTTCTAAAAGCGTGGAATTTTTTTTCTTTGCTAATGCGGTATGGTTATTTCATGTGGCTGCTATACTCGTTTTGTTTGTATGGCCTGTAGGATTTTGATACTTGTCTTGTTCATATGTTGCAAGACCTTCGGAAATCTATGAAGCAATACAATTCTAACCCTGAATGTTTAGATGAGATTAGTGTCATTTTGTGCTTGTAGTTAGAATTGCTATTCTAATTTGTGCAGACTAAGGGGTTTTTGGAACATTTTTCTTTGCTAATGTTCAGGAATACTTCCGTATTGGTTGGTTTCGTACTGTAAAGGGGTTTTCCTTTGGTTGAATGTTCTTTATTAGCAAATAACGTGGTGAGAAACATGCATAGATGATGAAAATGTTGGAAAAGTAAGAAGCAGGAGGGGAAAAAAAAACATGCAGGTTGTTGGGCAATTTCCCATATCCATCGGTCACCTGCAAACTGTTAGGGAATAAGGTTACAAACACTTATTTAGAATAGAGTTTTCTTCTGTATGTTAGAAATAGGAGAAACCTAAAGTTACAGAAATGTCCTCTATACTTGTCCGAAATACTAGGCCTACTAGTTATTGTCAATGTTGTTATCTAGTTGTGTGTGCATTTAATGATTTGCATTGCACAATGACATCTGCTAGAACATTTTGGTTTTGTTGTCTTCAATTCCTTTTTATCCTTCCCCTTGCCAGCTAATTTGTCATCTTAATTTGGATATTGAATTGATAAAATTTCACAATGTTGAGATTTGAAAAATCCTTGATTTAGTGAAATTCAGTTCCTGTATTTGAAATTTCAATTTGACCAATTTCCAAGGCAGTTATTAGATATTTAAGTTTGCAAATATTTGTATGAAGGAGCTTGGCATATCTCCATGTGTTGATTCATTAAAAGGACTTAAAACTTGTGAAAAAATCTTTTGGGTGTAAATCTTGTGACAGGCATCGACTTCAGTAACTTTAAAAGTTAGAATAGGAATTTTAATTTGTTTTTTATCCCCACCATTTTATGTGGTTTCTACTCGTTCTTTTGTAGAAGTTGTGGTCTTGCTATTTCAAGTAGTTTGCCGAAGTGGTCAAGTTCTTCATGTTCCTAATTGACATCTGATTTTTGTGGCAGGTAATTTGGAAGCCTACTTACGCGCATCATCAAAGCTTAAACTTGGAATGGTTGAAGATGAATTTACATTGAAAATGGATTCTTTATCACCAAAATCTCAAAAAACCATGGTCGAAGCTGATACGGCTGGGCAAATGAAGATAGGTTAGCAGAATTATACTAAATTAAGCAGTTTTAACAGTCTTGCAATTTAAGTTGAACAAGTCAAGGGTTTGTGAATGGACCCTTTGGATTGGCATGTTTATTTACTTGTGTCAAAAGACTGAGAAAATAAGAATGTCATTGCACATGTCAGAAAGTTGTATGGCTAAGATGAAGTACTTTGCTTACTCAACATGATGAAATGATGTTGACCATATAAATGCTGGTAAGTACTCGCTGATGGATATTAGCGGGCATAGAACTTAATGAGAAAAAATATCTTTGAATCTGAAGAAATTTTCCTTACCTAACTAAAAGATACAAAGTGATGGGAAAAATTATCTTTTTATGAAATTTACATTGTCAACCAAGTTAGAGGAAGTTATGATCACTACTGAGACAAAATTTCTTGGTGCATAATTGTGCTCGTGGATTACATAATGCATAATTTGATATTTAATACCTTAAATTATGAACTGAAGAAACAGCTTTTGTAGACCAACCCTAGCATGACTTGCATGCCTGATTTTGAACTTCATTTTACTTCAAACTCTGATATGTTTGGGTTATAGCCACCAATATAGAAGATAGATTTTTTACTTATAATTTTCAATTTTTTATTGGTATGGACACAACAGAACCCACCTGTTATGATCATCTGTGATTGAGCTACAGGTCTAGGATTTGGAACTACGTGGATGGGACTTAGGCGTTCATGTTTAGATGTTTCTCTTCCTGTTTCACCTATGTTTACAATAGAAAAATTAAGAGCTCATTATAGAGAGAACCCTTTAATATCTGGGTTTCGGACCTCAACCTTGGAGCAAACACTGCTTAATTCTCTCATTAACACTTGACCTTTTGAGCAACTCAATAAAAAGGTGAACACCGGATGACTACCCAATACATTAAAGAGACATACTTGACAGCTATGTTCTAATAAAGAAACTGAATTCCATATTCTTATCTATACAGGGGAAAAAGGAAAGAATAACAAAATAAAATACTGGAATGTCTATATTGAAAGTATGAGATTGCAAATTTTCAATATATGAGCTTTATTGGGTGCTCCAATATGGGTTAGCTTTTGGGTTGTGGTTTCTGCAAGGTTCATATAAATATGATGGTTGGTTTTATTTATATATATTTTAATTTTATATGCTTTAGGATCAATTTCTAGTTTCTCATCTTTTATCTAACGTTTGTTGGATATTTTTCAGGTAAAATTCCAGTTCGATTGTACATTTGGAGTGTTACTGGGGATTTTCAATACTTAGAAGATATTCCTAAAATTGATAGTTGGGACAAAATTTCTTATATAAATCGACCTGTTGAGATTCGAAGAGAAGAAGGTAATCTATTCGTTCAAGTTATTTGCAAATATAATGCTCTGCATTAGTCACCTTAAAATTTTATATTTTTTTATTTGCATCATTGTACCATAAAAAGAGCATTAACAATAATTTATGATGGTTGAATGATTATTCTTTGCACCAACTTTCCATATGATGCTGTGTGTTGAATCCATGCAAACATGCTTATGTTTAACAGTGGAAAAAATTACAGAACTTGTAATTGTAATTGCAATTTTGTGATAAGATGTGATAGATCTGAGAACATATAATTTGCGGTTGTTTGCATTCTTAAAGTGTATTATCCGGTTGTTCTCATAATAATTATGTCTCATGTCTCATGCTTTGCTTATATTCTTGTACTGCAGGTAAATACTTCACTCTACACGATGCACTGAAAACTCTAATTCCAGAATTTCTGGTTGGTAAGTCCGTGATTGATAATGTGTCATTTGGAGTTGAAGACGAAGATGAACAGAAAGTATCGTCAAAAGAGGTTAGCAGCAACAAACTTTCATGTCCATCTGCGGAGCCTTCTTGTGAATCTGGTACTGCTGAAATTAAGCTAGTACGCATTCAAGGTATTGAACCGAAACTGGAGATACCATTCTCATGGATAGCGAACAACTTGAAAAATCCTGAGCACTTTCTTCATATTTGTGTATGTGTTAAATCTTCACATATAAATTCTTTTGACAGGTAGCACAATCTTTCATTCTTTATCATTTTTTGCCCTTGCAATTAGGGCAGGCTAGAATCTTTGTGGGCAATTTCAAAGAATGCATTCGTTGTATAGAGAATCGTGCAGAATAGGTACAAAGATATATAATTATTTAAATATTCACATTTAACCTTTACCTGTGATGATAACTTTAGGAATGGAAAATTATTACATTTTTTTTTTAAATCTTTTTGTTTCTAATGTTTGCAATCTCAAAAATTATTTACTTCTTTACATATACATATGTACACTTAAATTTGTATTGCCAAATTGTAGAACGTAGGAAGCTGATTTAGGAAAAGTGCCAAATTGTAGAACATGTGACTGATGTGTCTTATGGAAGAGAAGGGTGTGCGACTGAATGAATGTCTGTTTATAGATGTTGAATTTAAAAAATCTCTTTCCAATGTATTAATTTCAGATCCTTTTCGCACCATTTTTCTTCTTTTTGTTTTTTTGGTCCACAATTTAATATACAATCAAATTACCAGAGAGTAATAAATGTCCACATTATTTAAGAGCATTTGTAATGTTACTGTGGATTGTTTTTATTTAATTTCCACATCAGAAAAATGGAAAGTTTTTTTTTTAAAAATGTCCTTCAATGCTAATTTCTATCTTGTATGTGAAGTTGAGGTGTAAAAAAAATAAATAGACATTGTTTACTACATCTTTTAAGGTCTCTTAAACAATGTGGATATTTGTTGTTTTAGTTTGATTGGTTGTATATTAAATTGTGGACTAAAAAAGAAAGAAAAAGAAGGATAGAGAATCTTTAAAAGTAGTGCATTTGAAAGAAATTTTTAAAATTTAATATCTATAGATAGATATTTAGTTACGTTACTATTAAAAGACACTTTAAAAATAAATCCTGTAGATAATATTTTTTTTTTTTTAACAGGTCAATTTGATATGCTAAATAGACATTAACATTAGATAGTTTTTTTTTTTTTTTAAATCTTTCTACGGTAATAAAATAAGAGCAGTACACGTTGTAGTAGATTGTATCGTATGCCACATTGGACAGTTGTGCAAATTTATGCCTCTGCCTTTCCGTTTTGTTGACCAAGTTAGATGATTGTGGTAGGTGATATTTGGATCATAAACGAGTAATATATGACGTCATCATCATTGACGAAAGAAACAACGAAACCGAAAAAGAAAAAGGTCTTCAAAACTCTTTGCCCGTCAATTAAGACTGTATTACGTTGACTATTGGACATCTTACCTTTTCTTATTATTATTATAAAAAGAATATCTGGATATTTTTCTTTGTTTTATTAAATTAATTATTTTGAGAAAAAAGTATTACATTTTTTTTATTAGAATCTAGTGCATTCTTATATTTATATATAACTAAGAAATTTAACATTTTCAGCTTATTGAAAAAAAAAAAAAGGAACATTATAAACTTATGTTATGAAATAATGAATATCTTATATCGACTAGAAGTTTGTATTTCTAATTATTGCGAATTCTACCTTCTTAATTTATGCAAAATTTTATTAGGATTTCATTTATATAACTATATACATATGCGACTTTCCATCAATAATAAAAATACTTTTATATTCTCTCTCATAATTTGCTCTCTATTTTTTCTTTTTAATTTTATATTATTTAATAACACGTTATCAGTACGATTTCATTGTATTGCTCCTATTACGTTCCATCACTTAGTTGATCAAATCGCTTTGAGTGGATGACTTATGATTTAAGATTTACACATGTAAGTTTATTGAAGTTTTAAAAGGTAATTCTTTATTTGTATAAGTTTCAAAATCATATTATTGATTAATTAAAAATAAAAACGATACGAAAAAGTATATTAACTTTTACGCCAAATCTGTTGCTTGGCAATTGTTGTTATACTTGCTGTAACTCGCCAAAAGTTGACATAACTGCAATTATTAATATATTAATGATTTATTTTTATTAAGAAGAATGAGATTTGTTCTGCTAAATTTTTTACGTTGGTTTAGTTATTTAATCAAATATAGTTAAAGTACTTAATTATAATTAATTATATATTTATACTTGAATATTATATGAATTACGGTAGTCATTGTGTGGATTATATTTTTAATTCATAAATTATGTAATCACTTGTCAGTTTGTCAATTATTTATATTATAAGTGCTTTTATCACGTGCGATGATTTTCAAATTCCCAAGCGAAAAATTAAACACTTTTATGATAGCGGATATAACAGGTGGGTATGAGAAAAATCATTATGGTATTTTATTCATATTTTTTCGATATTTCAATTATCTTGATATGTTGAATGCAGATTTAACTATATTATGTTGTATTTTAATTTGTTGACCATTATTCAACAGTTCAGTTCTAATTTTATAACTAAATTCTTTATTTCATATATTTATTTTATTTTATTTTTTACAAAATACTTTTTATTATGTCAAATTTTATACTAATAGCTCTTAATATTATGAGCAAAAATTATTCGTCATTGACACTAGATCTTTAAATATATTTGGATACTATGAATTTGAGAGATCAAGATTCTAATCAATCAATGAATGCACTTATCAATCAATGAATGTCTTTATCGCCAAAGCTGATGAAACTGTAAGTTATTATAATTTTTACGATATTAGAATTATTGTTTTATTATCATTATATATTGGCATATATATTATCTATATGGATTATTTTAGGGTCGTGATATTGCCAGAGCCATTATTGTTAAAGCCAGAGCATAAATTTTTGACAAAATTGTCCTTCCCTTACGCAAACTATCTTATCCCTTTCTTCTGCGTCTATTTCAATTTAGCTTTCCATGGATAATAGACCTCAGCATGAATATGGCATTACACTCAAAATCACCAAAGACTAACAATATTTCCAAAATTCTGTCCTTTCCTTTGCATCTATTTCAATTTAGTGGTGGCTCCTCTTCGCATTTTTTCAAGATTTGTTACTTCTTCGTTTATTCTATGAAGACTCTCTTTCTCAATTCTTGTTCGTATCTTTGCTTTGCTTATCCTTGTATATTCTTTTATTGCTTGTTCAAAGGCAGCAACAAAATTGGGGTCAATAAGAGTACTAGAATTCAAATTCGTTCACCACAAAGACGAGATGTCAATCTCTCCCTGTTGTTATATAAAAGAATTGGACACTATACCCAACTGATTTTTTTGGTGCCTGAATGATGGATCGACATTTTCTTTGTTTCCACCGTCATCAATAACCATTTCTTCTTCTTAATTTTCAAGATCTCTCATAGCTTTGCAACATCAATAACATCAGGTCTTTGATCTACCAAAATCTTTTCTTGATGTGCTTCTTTGGGTATGAATGAACATGAGTCTGGGCTTCTCTGTTTTGTGTTCGAAGGAAATTGAGAATTGATGAAGAACTAGCCAGGAGAGAGAGGAAAATCTAACGCTATAAAAATTAATAATGAATCACGTTGTTAGCATTTAAATAAAATAAAGTGGCGAAAAGGACAAGGAATTACCAAAACCTTTACTTCTAAGAAGCAAAATGAAGTAATTGCTTGGCTTGGCATATGGTACCGTGCAATTGAAAGCAGTGACAGAATCAATGCTCAAAGTCTTGCGTTCCATGAAGGAATGGGACAGCTTATGGAGACAAAGGACAATTTTGTCAAAATAAAAAATTTGTGCTCTGCGTTAACAAATAACAATAATAGCTCTGGCAATAACGCCACCCTTATTTTATTGTTGTTATCTATCGACATATATTATCCATATGATATCAATGTTGAGAATTGTTCATTTATTTTTAAATATAATTAAGATATTATCGTTATTATGATTGGAGCCCATATTAGCTCTTGATCTATAATTGTCAATGATATTTATGTCTCAAATATGCTCCTGAAGTAGAAATATTGAGAGAGAAGATTTTAAGAAATATTTTTTGGATTTTTCATATCCTTTATATCATTGAGCAAAATAATCAATGAAGATCATGAGCCTGCCCAACTGAATTTTGCAACATTCCCTGAAGTGAATGGAATAACATATAATACTGGGTATGAACATAATGAAGTTCACCCAACTAGATCTGATGCATTCCCTGAAGTAAATGCAATAATATATGATATTGGGCGTGGATGTAAATAATGACAAAGATATATTGATTATTGAGGAAACAATAAGATCATAGTTGAAGAAATGATCTTAGCAATTATGGTGGCCACATAATTAAGTATAAATTTTATCACCAAAAGTGGTAAAAATAATGTGGCATGTATTTGATTATGTACTTATTGTACATCACAATATGGAAAAACAAATTTGGCTTTGGTAGTAAAGAATATTTAAAAGCTCCGAAAGAGCAAGTATTACTACATAGAAGAATGGATTTTATGCATAATGTATCATTCCAAAGATATTCATCAAAATGGATATTATATAGAGATAATGATTGAAATAAATATGATTGTAAACCGAAAGTTTATAAATCTAAGTATTTTATTATTTGGCGGATCGGTTGGATCATCCCAATTAATAATGATGTGAAAAGGAAAGTTTAATACTTATATGGATATTTATTAAAGAACCAGAAGTTTCTTCAACTATAATAAATTTTTCATATTTAGTTTGTTCTTAAAGCAAATTAATTTTTGAGCGATCATCAAGAGTTCAAATTGAACTGCTTGTATTTTCTAGAGTATGTAAAGGAAAATTATTGATCAATTTATTTGTTATGGATGTATCCAAAAGATAGTTACATGATTATTATTAACTTGCAACCTGAAGTTTGCAAAGATTATTATCAATATGCAATCAGAAGTTTGCATGATTATTTGTGCAAATAATTTAAGTTTGCAAAGATTATTATCAATATGCAATTACATGATTATTATTAACTTGCAACCTGAAGTTTGCAAAGATTATTATCAATATGCAATCAGAAGTTTGCATGATTATTTGTGCAAATAATTTGATTAAGAATATACTTTCCAGATTATGTTATTAAGCTTGAGAATGATGGTGAATTTATACGTCAGGCCTTTAATGAATATGACATGTGTTAATTGAAATAATTATAAGACAACCCGTTGTTTCTTTTATTTATGCTCAAAATGATTTAGTACAATCATTTGTCAAATAATTGCAATTAATTGCAAGGATTATTATGAGAACGAAGCTCCCTATTTTTTAGAGGGACATGCTATTAAATTTAATAGTTTT